AGACCAGGCATCCGCGGAGGTGTCCGTGAGAGAGATCAACGGTTGAACGATGTCGGTGCAGCTACCAAGGATAGCACCCAAAAGAATGGCATCCTGACGATACCAAAGAGTATACGCAGGGTTGGGCTGTTTGTGAGCGGCATCGAGAAAGGGAGATGGAGCTTTAAGTGAACCATCCACATAGGCAAAAAGGCCAAGACCAACGAGAGTGGTTTCAACCTGACGGCGCCACACGAGATAATTGGTCTTGGTTAATTTGATGGGAAAATGCTTGGAGGCAGACATGCGGATGAGGTCCGCCAGAGACGACGAACCAGAGTCCACGGAGCCAGATCCGGAAGTAGTCATGAAGACTTACTGGAGATGAGAGACGCACAAATATGTCCTCAAAAAAAAATCTGTTTAAAGAAGGGGCTCTGATACCATATACGAACGGAGTATTTGTGAATAATTGAGTTGCAGTAGTATTCATGTGATGAGGATATTTATACACGTACAGGGCATGTAACTAAGCCTACAAACTAGGAGAACAACCTATACAAGTGGAAGAGAACAAGTCTAATGCTATAAACAAGGGATAAACACACAAGCTACGTAACAACTATTCAAACTATGCATTCTTATCTACTTATCTCTAACAAATAAGACATTTGGGTTGAACCATATTAAAAGATTGAATTCAATCGATTAGTTAGTTCAACTCAAGAGTTTATATACCAATTATTTTGCTCTTAAACTTTCGATATGGGATGTACTTCAACAGTGTATAATAATACATTCATTAAAAAAATTGCCAAAATAGGTAACGGGAAAGGAATCTTTGGATAGTAAAAAAGACAAGTGAGATAAGAATTAATGGACGAAAGGAGTATTATTGGAAGTGGTTCATACACCCTTACAAGCTTCCGTTGCTAGTCCACACTGAGAGCAACTCCAAAGGAAAAAGGTAAATTAAGAAGGTGTTTTGCTCAATTACCCTCTCAAAAAGATAAATGGATTTATTTTAAATATTCTTGATTCCAATGGAAGAAGTTAAATGGAGAAGTAAATATATGTTTTCCAAAATAAAGATCTTTTAAAGAAAGAAAGGAAATTGGTATAACTCTCCAAAATTAATGAAGGTATAATACCTTCTCATATATCTTCCCCATTGGAGGATAAAATTATGTGAAGAAAATGTAAATTTGATAATTATTATTCTTTACCTTTTGATTTATCTCCTGCATTGGAGTTGCTCTGATAAAATTTTTTTGACCAAGATTGAGGAATGCACTTGGTCATGTTGGAGTAAGCTACACGGGGCGCGTTTGGGTGGGAGACTTGAAGGGGGTTGGGAGCCTAATAGGCTAGGGCTGTGGGTTTTTGGAAGGTTAAAGGGTGAGAATTATTTCAGAAACGAACAGAGTATTGTAGTATGTCCAAATTGGCCACTAGAGTTATCTAACAATTATAAGTTGTTATAGTGAAAGGCTAACAAATAGCTCTAGACACCAAAGTTATTTAATTCCATATTTATAAGATATTCAAAATAGCGCTACATCAAATAAAATAAATTTTGAAAGTATGAAAAAGACTAAAAATAAAAAGAAATGGTAGAATTGATGTAGTGTTCACCGGAGTTTGGAATATGAATGGTGAAAGTTGTCTAGACCGAAGAGATAAGAACCAGACCACTTCATCGAAGATTGAATTGCTTAAAGTAGAAAAAGGAGATGAAAAGCAGAGTTGCTAGAGCTTTCCTTAAACTAATCGTAACACATTCATTAGTCTAGGTCTAAAGTAATACTTGCACAAACACAACTAAGCCCGTCCACACATCCAACCCATCCTAAAAGAAGGAAGATATGGAGAAATATAATTACCATATAAGCAGACCGGACTAGATCTAATTTATATAAATTGGGGTATTTGGTATTTTAGGAAGGGGTATTAGGGCGAGCAAACCCGCCTATTTTTATACCAAATACTTCCTTCGTCCTAATGTGTTTGTCCAGATTAATTTTTTTGAGTCAAACAATAATGAATTTTGAGCTTCAATGAAACAAAAAATGATAATAAGTATTAGTATAAAAATACTCCCTCCGTCCCGCTATATTCGTCCACTTTTGACTTTTGGAACTGTTCATTTAAGCACTTTGACTCATCAAATTCTCAAAATGTGTAAGCCTAAATATAGTCATGCGTAATCTTGTTTAAAATAGATTAAAGAAGTGTATTGTATGATGTGCAAAAATAAAAGTGGACAAATATAGTGGGACGGAGGGAATACTGATTAGAAATTAAAATTCAAAATTTATTTGATATAAACAATCTAAATCATAGCCCAAAAAAATGTCAGCCCTTGTACGCGTATGAGATCTCCTCAACTATTCTACTTTTTTCTTCTTTACGACCGCGACACATTTTGTGCTCCATAGTCCATAGTACATAACAAATTGGCGTATGGGCTAATTTGATGGCTTGGATTGTCATAGGCATGTTTGGATATTAGTTTTTCGGAGGGAAAAAAATTAAAGAGTATATGAAAATGCTAACGGTAAAGTCTCACGTTATAATAGCGTGAACTCTAATTAGGAAATAAAAACATAGAATTCTTATTGATTTTTGGTACTTTCTCTATGTTTTTACTTTATTTAAGATGATTTTTTTGGATGACTTTTAGCTATTTTGACTAATTTTAGTTATTTTGACTAGTCAAACAGCATAATAGACTGTTTGGCAAATGGCTATTGAAGTTAGTTGTTAGAGTCTGAAAAGCCAATATATAAAAAGATAAGAGGAGTAACCTTTGTCTATTGGGAATTTTTGGAATAGAATTTTAAGAGTTTGAAAAAAATACAAATAGTTAGAAGAAATCGAAAGAAATTGAAAAGAAGTGAAAGGAATGGGAAGAACGATAAAAAAAATGGGAAAAATGAGAAAGAACTAGAATAAACTGAAAGTTAAAGGTTCAAACCCTAAAAAACATGCTCTAATTGCCATCGTTTTCTGCACAAAGCCAAAACTCATGTAATAATATCGTATCTCGTCCCGTTCCTCCATTTATTTTACGTTATTCATCATTCTTAGTAAAAAAATGTATATAAATTCAGTAAATATATTTATGCATTAAAGATTAATTTTGTTAAAAAAACTGGTAATAAAGATTAACAAAAATAGTAGTAGTAGTAATAATGATGATAATAATAATAATAATAATATTATAATAATAATAATACGGAGTAATAATAATTGAAAATTAAAAAAATTTAAACAAAAAGAATAACACCAATTGCACATTTATTATTGAAATTAAAAAAAGTTGAGATTGAATAAACAAAACTGAGATTATAAGTTAATAAAATGAAATTGAAAAAAAATTAAAAATTCGGCCGAGCGGCTCGGATCGGCGAGGTGCTGCAATGGCGCCCACCACACGCCATCGCGCGCCGCAATCCCCACCGTGCTCGGCGACTGGCCCACGCCGCGGCACCGGACGCAGCTCCTCCTCCCACGGTGGATTGCCATCGCGCGCCACAAACTACGGCATGACATCTTTGTTAGCCCTCTTACATAGGGGTGGGCACGGGCCGGTCCGAGCCAATATTTGTATAAACCGAACTCGACTTGTTTTTTTAAAAACGGTCCAGGCCGGAACGGGTTTTCAAAATTTTAAAATTGAAACCAGACATAATCCGACTTGTTTGAAACGGGCCGATTCCACGGCTCAATGGGTCTGAACCTATCATGATACTAATTAAAAAAAATAAAGGGATAATAAATTAATTTAAGTCATCCAACATAAAAAAGAGGCGTAAATGAAAATTAAACAATGACAAAGAGGGACATGAGAGTAAAGTGTACATCCCATGATCATCCAACAACAATAATAAAAAAGAAGACAACCATATTTTGGCATTATAATGTCAATGGGTTCCAAAAAGAACAAAATTCACAATCTTCATGGGTTTCGACTCTCTGACTATGAAAGGTTTTCTTACTTTTCTTTCTGCGATTGGAAGGACCAAAAGCTTGAAGGGCTTAGGCAGGTATATTTCCATATATCCGTATATTTACTAAAAATAATATTAAAAATAATATTGGGATTTAAAAAAACAGTCTGGTCCGGGTCCAATACAATTTCAAAATGAGGAACCAGACCGACCCTAAAATTTGTAAGGACCGGACCGATCCGGACCGTTTAAAATTTTTGAAAAAAGGACCCGACCCTAACCCGAACCGAACCTAGCGGTTCGGTTCCGACTCCCGATTCCTGGATCCGATTGCCCACCCCTACTCTTACCGATCTTATCCGGATTTATATTTGTGCACGATTAGTGCGCCTAAAAGATAAGGCTGTCACCTCCATAACAAATATTCCATCTCTCTACCATAGATCTTCTCAGACACTATTCATATGGTCAAACTTCACTCACTTGGTTTGCTCATTTTCACTAGTCATTTATAGTCTTGTTGTTAGAGTACATTTGTAAGTAAGATATTTTTGTGTTATTTGGGCTTAAGTTATTGGGCCTGTTGTAGAATGTAACTTATTTATACCCAAAGTGTAAATGGAAACCTCAACTCATTCAGTTCATTAGTTCGTACATGGTATCTGAGACGGTCGGAAACCAAACGGCGACGAGCCACGGGACAGGGAAGCTACTGACAGTCGCGTATCTTCATCCGCTAACGGATGAAGCTACCGAAATGCTCAAATAACACAAAAATATCTTACAAATATACTCTAACACTTGTCACCTTTAGTTTTGTAGAACTTTTCATGTAGTTTATTACTATATAAATTTTATTTTAAAATTTTACTCCTATGATCAATTAAATTGAATTAAAAATAAAGTCAGTCAAACCTCGTAACGCGTAATGTGGAGATCTTAGGTGGACGGAGTGAGACAATGAAACACTTGAAAAATAGAAAAAAATCTTAGTTTAAATACCTCCTCCGTCCTATATCTTTTTTCCCGTTGCGCAAAATGAAAAAAAAATCCCAAGTTTTTTCAATCTATTTTATTTAAATATTGGTATAGAAATAAAAAATAAAACATACATATTTAAAAACTACATCAAAAGTTCAACAAAACAAGTGGTGACAAGAATATTTTATTTTATGATATAGGCCATGAAAAAACACAAATAAATATAAATTCCCGTGAAATTGGAATAGTGCTCTGGGAAGAAAGTTTTAGGACGGAGGGAATATATTTTAAATACTCCGTATCATTTTTCGAGTGGGTCTGTTCAGATTTAATGATGGAAGCTAAATCTGCGCCTAAAGTGCTTTTCATCAATTTTTTAACACTTTTGTTTATTTATTTTCGTTAGTTATTTGATAAAATAATATAGTCTTGTCACCTCTTGTTTTGTAGAACTTTTGGTGTAGTTTTTAAATATATGAATTTTCTTTTTTAATTTCACGGCTACAATCAAATAAATTGAATTGAAAATAAAGTCGGTAAAACTTCTTAAACAAAAACAGAAAGAATGTTTTGGGACGGAGAGGGTATGAGTTTTTATTTTGTCAAAAAATTAGCTAACACTTTGAAACCATAATTTTTCCATTTTTCTTAATAAATGTGAAAAGTCAAATTAAAAAATCATTTTCGTTCGAATAGATTGAGTGATAATTGCATCATCCGTTCTAAAATGATCTTTTTAGTTTGTATTCACATGGTCAAACCTTAATCATTTTTTACTTAATTTCGTTAATTATTTGATAAAATAATATAATCATATGTCACCTCTTATTATATAAAACTTTTGATGTAGCTTAAAAATATATAATATTTATTTTTTTAATTTTATACATATAATCAGATAAATTGAATTAAAAGTTTTAGTCAAAGTTCGTAAACCGAACGGGAGAGATCATCTTAGGATCAAGTGTAAGATGATTAGCCTGTTTGGGAATAGCGTTAGAGATTAGCGTTAACGTTTTGAAAAGGCTTTCTACTGTTTAGCGTTAGTGTTTTTTAAAATAATTTGCACCGTTAAAATTTTATACAAAATGCTAATGCTAATCTCTAATCTTATTCTCAAAGAGACCCTAAATAAAATAGACCTACGTTGGCATTGTAGCTTTTTTTATACTCCCTCCGTTCCATGAAACATGAGACTTTTGCTTTTTAGGAGGGATTTAAGGGGATAGTATTTTGGTATTGAATTTCTAAAAATGTCCTTTGATGTGATGGGTAAAAGTATGATTTGATGGATAGATTATTAGTAAAAAGGTATGATGTGATAGTTAAGGTATGAAAAAATAAGGGGTAAAAGTGACTTATTAATAGAAATAAAAAATGTTTTGTGAGACGGATAAAAAAAGAAAGGAAAAAGGTTTCATGGGACGGAAGGAGTATTTGACAAGTCAAACATGTAAGAGTTGGAAGTTCAACAAGGTAGAGATAACGACAGAAGCTCATGAAGGAAAAGGAACCACTTTGCACTTTGCAGAGCCACTTGGGCCTTCTTTTTGTTTTCCCCATGCACTGCACGACACCTACATTTCAAAATGCAAACAATAAGCAAAAAAAAAAAAGTTAAAGTGCCTAAAAAGCTTGTTCTCACATTATTCCTCTTTATACTGAATCACACTTTGCTTTAAAATAATCTAACTAACTCTCTTAATTAAAATCACAAATACTCCGTATTATTCATGGACCAAATTTTGTTTCGTTATTTATTTACTTTTTTGAACCATTTCTTAAAATAACATAATCGTGTTACTTAATATAATTTATAAATATATTAATTTTATTTTAAAATTTTATATAGTCGTTTAAATAAATTAAATGAGATTTTGTGTTATTTATCGCAATTTTTTTTGAAAATTGGACGAATTCATCTTGATCTTTAAAAAATAAAATATTGCTTCTCTGAACTTTAAAAATGTTGCACCAGCGGTCCCTTTGTGCCAGGTTTGGGAGTGTGTGATGAATATCAGGACCTTAGCTTGGAGCAAGTCCAATGGGCCCAAATATGATTTCGTGACCCAACAGATATAAAGCTCGAGTTCAGAACAAGAGGAGATCAGAGGCCGAAGCCCAAAAACAGACGAAATGGCGGGCCAAGTTCGGTCCAAAAAGGTTGATTACACATGGTGTAAGAGAGAAACGTGATTCCCCAAATCGTGGAATTGAGGATTGATTGATGACTGATTCCCCGCCACGATTGATGCATGATAATTGATTTGCCGATGATGTAGCGCGCGAAATTGCATACTCTGTATCCAATAGAATTACACTATAAATAGGAGGTGAATCCTTCATTGTAACTCAAACTGAAGCTAGTTAATACAAGCTTACGAGAATTCTATATTTCATCTACTCGTATAATCTTGATATTCTCATACAGTTCTCCATCCCACCAAAATCGTTGGGCTGAAATCTCATCAATATGAATGCAAAATTTACAATAACCCTTGAAAAGAGTTTGTGATTCATTCATGTCATCAAAGTACAATAATGGGAGAAAAACTAAAACATTGAAAATATATCAAAATAGAATTTCCATGTTTTATTCCCGAAATAGGACTTAAAATGCATTTATATTACCAAACATGGTCATGTACATTACAAAAAAGTATAATAATGTGCACATGTACAGTGTCACATTACAACATCATTATCACAGTGTGAAGTTCTATTTCGAAAAAAGAACATGAAAGTTTATTTTGGTATTTTTCTCTAAGTTTTATTCCTATTTATGGTAATTTCTATACAATAATTTGTTCTACTCCCTCGGTTCCTAATTTGATTATAAATTAGAAGTTATGAGGTAAAATCTCTCGTATTTTGAAATTTTTTTATTTACAAATTTATATATATTTATTTCCAAAATAAGAGTTTTCACTCTAATAATGTCGAGGTAATGTAGCACTATACACATAAACATCACTAAAGTTTTTTGTGATGTACAATGCCCTTATTTAACTATCATAGGGATAATTAAGTATATATATACAATCATACACCAACCTTTTCAAACTTTTTCCTTTCTTTTAAATTCCTCCTCCTCTTCCTTAAGCTCCTTTCATTCAATCAATCTTCAATACAATCACTTTTCAATACCCATGACTTCTTCCGAGAGCTTGAACTTCTTCTCCCCTGAATACTCTTCCCCCATGATGCTCCCCCCGCCGCCGCCGCCGCCCACAACAAAGCTGCCTCTCCCTCCACCCCCCTCATCAGCCCGAACCACTCCATCCCCAACACAACACGCGCCGCCGCCGAAGCCGGAGACCCCACACCGGAAGACGACGACCAAGCCAGTCACACTACACAACACATATCCCAAACTAAGATCCGCCGGAGGCCGGAAGACGAACCCGGCGGTGTGGTGCATCTCATTCCTGTGTTTGATCTTCAGCATCCTCTTGATCCTCTCCGGCGCGGCGACCCTCGTCGTCTTCCTCGGCATCAGGCCCAGAAACCCGGGGTTCGACACCCCGGGTGGGACCCTCAGCTTCGCCTACCTCAACTCCCTCCAGTCCCTGAACGCGGAGTTGGCCTTTCTGGCCAACTTCTCGAACCCGAACAGGAGACTCGAAGTCAGCTTCGAGTCTCTGGAAATCGGACTGTACTTTTCTGACACGCAGATAGCGTCTCAGGTGATTTCCCCCTTTCGTCTGGCGAAAGGGGGGTCAGAGTGGTCCCAGTTCATCTCATATCAAGCCTTGTTTATTTGCCCCCAAGTCATGCTTTGGGGCTACAAAAGCAGGTGTTGAACAATAGGGTGGTTTTTAATGTAAGGGGAGTGTTTAGGGTGAGAGTGGAACTTGGGATGGTTCACTATTCTTATTGGTTGCATGGGAGATGCCAGGTGGAGATGACAGGTCCTCCTAATGGTTTCCTTCTCTCCCACAACTGCAAAACTAAGAGGTGAAGAAGATGAATATTCAATTGCTACTTGGGGGGGGGGGGGTTTTTTTTACTATGTAAATTGCAATTTTGGTGTTCCTTTATACATATACTTGAAGATAATATATAAATCAAATCACATGTTTTGATCTTTCATTTGTGGGTGATAGATGTATTCTTTTTGTTATTGTATTCAGATTTCATGAGGTATATCCGTATATGGGTATATACTAGATAGGGAGGAATAATTAATTAAAATTATACTCCTAGTCTCCTAGCATTTGAATATACTCTCTTCCATCTTTTTAATTGATTGATTATTACAACTTTTGAAGTAAATCAAAAGTTGAATAGATATTGATACATAATGTCTATATTGATTTAACTTTTGGAATAGGTAGGAGAGTGGTTTGAGTTGATTAGAGAAGTTTTTAGAGTACAAATTTCATTAATACCACTTCTATCTTTTACTCTCTTCTCATTTAATTTCTTATTGATTCAAAATAAATCTATTAACATTAAATTTATATTGTAGTCCAATATAATTGAAGAAATCTGTAAAACTTCCCTATGATTTACGTAAACTTAATCGTACATATATACTACCATGCTACGCTAATGGGCCTCGGCCCGTTACAACACAAGCTACAAAATATACACACACATGCTAATACTCCCCCTCAAGTTGGCGCATGAAGATCTCGAATGCCCAATTTGGAGAGTAAGAAAGAAAATAAAGGACGATTCAACGCCTTGGTAAACAAATCGGCAAGCTGCAAGCGAGTGGGTACATAAGCTGTGGTAATCTCACGCCGTTGAACACATTCACGCACAATGTGGCAATAAATATCGATGTGTTTCATACGCTCATGAAATACTGGATTGGCGGCAATGAAAAGAGCAGACTTGTTATCACAAAACAGGCGCGATGTGGTTGGTGGACAGATTTAAAGTCGTGCTTTAAATTGGTGATTGGACAGAGGGATAATCAAAATTCATATCATATCTGCAAAAGTCGTGCTTTAATCAAAAAAAAATCAAATGCTACAAAGGATATGGAGAAGAGGGATAAAAATATGTTATTCTACTGTAATTTTTAAATGATCATAGTAGTGTTCCGGAAGCTGGGTGTTTGGTGGGTACCCAAAAATCGAGGGCCCCATACTTAAGGATTAAGGAAGAAGAAAAGAATGGAGTGATGCATTTCGAGAAAGGGAGAAGGAAATCAAAATGGAACAGTACAATTCAAATACGAATAGAACCCCTCATAATTGATTTAGGTGGCATCCAATAAGAGCATGGTTTTTTCTGTAAAGAGGAGATTAACTCATTTGGTAAACTTACTACGGAGTACAAGGGAAAAACAACTCATTTGGTGAAATTGCTACAAAAAAAAAAAACTTTTTTGGTAAAATTGTGTTTTATGAGTGTGAGCTCCCCACGAATTTTAGGGAGTAATTTTAATGAGTTATTTTATTGAAATAGTGTGCTTCAAAATTATGTGCCTATTTAGTGAGTTTTGCAGATATGATATGAATTTTGAAATTTGGAAAAAAATCATATGAGCTTCAAAATCTGAATTTAAATTGTTTGGACAGATTTAAAGTCGTGCTTTAATTGGTGATTGGCAGGGCTGTCTCCATGGAAATAGGGGCTCTGTCCGACACGGAGAAAATGCATTATTGTGTGATAAAAAAGTAAAATTTATCAATTTATTTTTCTAATAATATTTAACATTGTAGTAGTTATAAAATGTCAAACTCATAGTCTTATAAATTTATAATTATATTCTCCGTACTTTAGTACTTAATCGAGAATTCGTGAAGTTCTTCTGTCATTCTTGAAAGCAAATAGGTTGATCACCTCTTCATAGTTTATTAAATTTAGTGATTTACGACTGTATTTTTAAAAATAAATCAAGAACTTTTGATATAAATAAATATATACATGTATATGTACAAAAAAATTGGGTCCCATTCAAAAATGGGCCCTGGCCAAGCAGGGGCGGAGGAAGGGGGGCATGCCCGGGCAACTGCCCCCCGGCGAAATTCTGGCGATGGAGGAATATGGTACCCAATCATGATAGAGGCCGGATTNCGCTGCCAGGAACTTCCGATCGAAAAACGAGGAAGAAGAAGCAGATCCACGAAGAAAAAAAACCAAACGACGTCGTTTTAAGATTGGGTTTTTAATAATTTTTTTGACCCAGCCCAACATTACACGGCCCAGTAGCCCAATTGCCCAAAAAAAGAAAGAGTAATTTACTTAAATAGGACTAAAACATAATGACTTTCCCAAAATAGGACCACATGTTTTTATTTCCGAATGTAGGACCTTTGGTCATTATTCTTTAGTCATTATTCAAGTAATGTCTATCATTGCTGGGCATTATTTCTTCCACGAAGACATTATTAAGTCCTATTTAGGGAATAAAAAAGTTTAAGTCCTAGATTAGAAAAGTCATTATGTTTTAGTTCTATTTAGTGCAAATTTCACAAAAAGAAAATACGGACTATTCATCTCCTAAGGAGGCAGAACCGCAAAAAAAAAAAATGAAGTGCAGACAGAACCGACCAAGGCAGAGCAGAACCGGAATCCGCCACTGGAGTCTGGAAACTGACGGACAGATTTTTGAATTCTTCCAATTTTGAGCCCTTCTTTTGTGCTTCTTCATCCAATCTTCGGATCTTCTCTCGTTGTCTAGGTATATTTAAATTTTAATTATCTAATTTTGAGATTTGTTTCTTAATATTTGAAATTTTTGAATATTGCTAAATTATGTTTTGATTTTTGAATACTAGTATTTAACCCGTGCAACGCACGGGGTCGAACGCATGTTGTTTTTAACTCTGTTAATTTGTTTTTAGTAAATGATTAAAAAATATAGCTAAATATAATATACAATGTTAGAAGTTTAATGAATGATATGACATAAACAGAGTATGCTAACTAAAATTCATGTATATAAATGTATTAATTACATCCAAATTTTTTGGAAAACCTCAGGATAAACCACATTTTTGGTGCAATTGCAAGAGTTACCGTTTTCATCTAAAACTAACATTTTAAATCTTTTTTAGTTTCCACTCGTGGAACTCCAACATAAAATTGACTGAGTATTTGTCCCGTTTTGATATTTTCAGACATTTCAGTCAATCATTTTCAACCATTTTCAACATTTGACCTATAACTAAGTGAAATATATATTGTATATTAATTAGATAAAATAATATTTTGAAAATATTTGATATAATAAATCTAATAAAATTATTTTTGTATCAATATCTAATATCATTTTTATTTAATTTGAGAACATACACCAGTATTTAACGGTAGTCTCAATCCAAAGTGCTCAAATAAGTGTTAACTATATTCCGAATCCAAAGTGCTGAAATAAATTTTAAGGGCAAACAAAGTATTGAATACAATAAGATAGATGAAATCCTTCAGTCCAAACTTTATATATTGATTGATGACAGTTACATAGGGTAGGTTTGTTCAAGCCTCCATTTCCCTTGGCCTTTAAAATAAAATTACAGAGAAATTTAATAACCCACCTGAAAAACAAAGGGGAAGGTCAAAATTTTGTAGGGCAAACGAATAGATATTTTCTGTGCGAGACCCAATAATTTGACGAAATGCCAATAATAACATAGCTTGCAGTAGATACTTGGTTCATTGATACACATTAACAAATTATTATTTTCACGCACATAGGAGATGGCAAACACTATAAGAAATGATATTGAACCCCCCAAGAAATGAAAAAAGAAGTAGAAAGAGCCTATTAACAGCACTCCATATCATTGTTAGGGCTTTTAATAGTTTTTCATTGGCCAATTCATATTTTTATATTATTTTAATTATTAAAAATCAATAATTTTATCTCTATATTAATAGTAGGGGTAAAGTCTACATACACATACTCTCCTCCCCAAGCCCTATAACTATTTCTTCCTGAAATCAACATAAAAATATTTGGACTCTTGACCCTCCAACTGTTTACACTTATCTTAGTTTTGAATATAGTGAATGCACCAGTGCATGAAAAAAAGCAAAGAATTGTCATTTAATCTAAGCACACTCTCTAGAACATGATTTTCAATGTGCGAGGCTAACATTAAAAAAGGGAATAACCAACTTTTAAGCAAGACATTATACTCTATAATTGAGAATCTAAGATTTCCCTAGATTGAACGACTTTCTAGAGAAGAGGTAGTTACCTTATTTGATATTTGATCAGGAACCCTGAGGCTTCAAGAATTATGTTCCATCAATCTAATTTTAAGGTTCCAATACTCTTTCAAAGTGGACAAACCAAAATTAATAGACTGAATAGAGTGATAGAAAGTTATAACATTTCAGAGGGATTTTGAGCATTTCAGGTTATAGAACAAAGTGGTGGGAAAGTTTATCCTTTACTTACAAAAAGTGATAAATTTTGATGTGTGTGGTGATATTCTTGCTCTTAAGTTTAATATTAACATCAGTGCTAAACAAATCTCCTTTCTTTATACGTGATTACTTTGACTGGTGAAAATGACAATAGAACAAATACCGTGTGAGCATGTAAGTACATACACATGAAATCAAAAATCAATTTATACTGTGTATCCAGCAAACATTGATTCACAATTAAATGTTTTTTAAAATTCGTGTTAAGTTCAATGTTTTATTTAATTTGTGAAGAGGGAATTGCACCATTGTTTTACTAAACCACATTTTGACTTAAACATTTTTTAATGCAATCCACCAATTGTTTTAAGTTTTGTTTCTTAAAAGCCCTTTTTTATGCTTCATGTTTTTTGAATTTGAGTCTTCAGTATTGCCGGGTAGTTGCACAACCCATCTCTTCAACACTGGTAACTTCTTTAAATGCATCTTACAACAATGACAATTGATAGATCTTAATAACAACGAAGTAGGGTTTATTCTTGAAATTGATAGATTCATAGTATAAAAATCTAGCCCTTCAAATAGGTAGACCTAAACTTAAGCTAATTTCGTGAAAACATATGTGAATTTTTAAGTCTAAAATAGTAAATATACAAAATTAAAATACAACTGAAGAGCAATAAAAACACTACCTGCAAAGCCACCCTCCTTATTTGAGTGCAAGCAATCAGGCGACCTCTCTCTTCCCACCCAACTTCTTTAAGGTACTGCAGCCATTGTTTAATAGTAACGAATAACGTTTAATTAAAAGAAACCCAAAATTTAATCATAGGAGTTTTTTTAATAAAAAAATATATCGAACAAACTGTAGAAGTGCAACAAAATGATTGAATTTCTCGAAGATATTTGAGGAACCAGGGTCATTTCTACGATGCGAGTCTCCCCCACAATGATAGTGGTGGAGTGCCCTGATAGAGAATGGTAGCCCTGTACTTGTGTACCGATAGCCGTTGCCTCGCTTCTTTATATCCTCGATTGTAAAATCCACAAACTGCAAGTTTTAGCCCTTATGAGACTAATAACACACACACACACACTCACAACAATCTCAAAAGAGAATCTTTATGCATAAATTCACCAAGCAAGAACTATGAATCGTCTACAGCAAAACAATACAAATTAACCAAGCAAAAGAATAAAAACAAAATACACGTGCTTAAATAAACAAAGTAAGAACTATGAATCATCTTAAACATCTGAATTCAAAGAACTATGTGAAAAACAAAATGCTATGTATTACCTTCGTCTTCTTGAATACTTCCTAACATCTCTAGAGTGTAAAACTTTTTTGCTACTCCACACCCTCTATCATCGTCAGCTCACCAATATCTCCAAGCGTCGTCCACAACCGTTTTCATTGCTGATTTATAACATAGCAGTTTGTTAGGCTTTGAAGAGTGGGCCAGCGGCTCTACTACAAAGTAGAACAGATGTTGTAGATTATTAGATTGTTGCAAAGGCAGAGATTGTGGTATGTCTTCTCGTCGCCGGGGGAGGGCAACAAAAATCATAATAAAGAATTATACAACGTGTAAACATTACGTGTCAAAAAATTGAGCCTTAAAAAATGCCACATGTCAGTTTTCTAAGCCATCAACTCTCAAATATTATATTAAAGGATTTATTTTGTTCCGTAGTTCTAGTGTGTTTGTTTAAATATTTAATAAATGTTAATGTAATTTCAAATTTTAGAGATTAAGAAATATTAAATTGTTGTTTTAAGGTTATTGATATTATTTTGTTACTTTATTAATAAATCAGAAAATTTTGAGACGTGAGATGGATAAATTTGTTATAAAACAAAAGAAGAATTTAGAATTTGTAAGTGATAAAGACAATGAAAAAGAAGCTTCTTCTTCTATTGAGAAAGAAAGTGTGGTTTCAAATGATGATATTATTGCTGATCCGGGATTACGAAAACCAATTACGGAGTAATAGTTATCCATTGGAAATTAGAGATGTAATAAGGAGAAGATACTTAGCAAAAAATCCTTGTAAGCCATCAATGGATAAATTTCCACAAATAGAAGATATGTTTAGTTGCACTTTGCCAAGTAAAATAGTTACTATTCTGGATTTTGTTTATTTTTTAAATAAATTTTTGCCCCCCATGTGAAATCTTCCTTGGCTCCGCCACTGTGGCCAAGTGACCACCCTGCCCACCCTTATAGCCGCCCCTGGTGATTGGTAGGGACGCCGACAATAATAGTCAGCGGTGACAATCCAGTAGTGGGAGATGGTCGACGGTTGAGTAGATCCAACCCATCTTGTCCCGCAATGGGGTGCCTCAAGGGCAATGAATTAATATTGTTGTTACTCATGACAGATTCAAATTTAGTTGAAGATATGGAGCATAGGAGCTAGTTGCTAAAGATTTGATCGACATGCTTTATTGAAAATAATATTTACACACAACTTTTTATTATTGACATTATTTATGTGGAGTGTGAATCTTGCCATTTATTTTGAAATATTGGAATAATAATATTGCTCCCTTGAATTATGAAGTACATGATAGAGTATATATAGGAGAGACTCCTAACACAACTAGGAATATAGAATAGAAACTAACTAACATACAACATCTACCACAAATAGGATTAGGAAGCTGACTAATAATGAAACACTACCATAACCAATACTACCACAAGTAATACTATTATTATTGTCTAACATCCCCCCTCAAGCTGAACTCTGGCTGAAGCAAGAGGAAGCTTGGACACTAGCTCGAAACTGGAAACTTTGAAAGGAGAGAAATTTGACGTGCGCCGGTGGCTGCTGACGTCGTTGGAGAAGAGAGAAGTCTGACGTGCGCCGGTGGCTGCTGACGTCGTTGGAGAAGAGAGAA